TGCCTCAGGCTCCCGAGTTTAGGGCTGGACTACGAGGCATGCACCACCAGCCGGCTAGCTTTTTTCTGTATATATAGTGGCCAATTAATTTCTTCTATTATTTAAACGGTCTCCTTCTCACTGTCCATTCCTTGACTGACTAGACGTCCTCGATCGCCTCCAGAGTGTGCCGGCGATGACAGGCGTTGACGCCGCGTCTGGCCCGGCTTATTATATCTGAAATACTTGGCGCGGTGGTCGACGCCTTATCCTACCTTCTGGAGCGCCGAGGCGGGAGGTCATTTTTAGCTTCAGGGTTCAAGACCAGGCCTTAGCAAGGGCGAGACCCGTCTGTCCTTAAATAGAGAGAAAATAATTTGCCAGCTATATATAAAGCAAAAATAGGCGCGGTCGCTGCCGGGCGTGGCGGACGATGCCTGAGCCAGCCACTCGGTGGAGGCGTGAGGCAGTGGAGCGACGCTTGAGCCCAGGAGTCTGGCAGGTTGCTGTGACGGAGGGCTGACGCCACGTACTTCACTCTAGCCGGAGCAACAGAGCGAGACTCTGTCTCAAAAAAAAAAAAAAAAAGTAGCAGCATCCCGGCCCCCCATTCCAGACGACGTTGGGCCTCGGGGAGCGACCCTAGAGGTCCCCCAGGCTGGTGGAAGAGGCCGGACGCTTAGAGGCTGGGACCCGGAGCGTCCACACCGGTCAGCGCTATTTTTTTTTTTTCTTTTTTTTTTTTGTTGTCGGCTCAGAGGGAGGCTGGGGGTCCGCCCCGCGCAGCACAGCACAGCGGGGGTAGGATAAGAGCGCCTCCCTCTGCCTGCCCCTCCTGTCCTAGTGCCCGGCCCTCATTCCCACCCCCACCTCCGTGGTGGGCTCGGGCGGGGACACTTCCCTCCGCCCCAACCGCCCCCCGGCACCTGGTTGCGTGTGGACTTTGCGGTGCGGTGGACCGCGTCCCCCCGCGGGGCACCTGTTGCGTGTGACTTTAGCGGCTGCGGTGACCCGCGGTTGCATCAGATCAGGAACCAGCTGCGGCAGGCTCTGCCCCCCACGCAACTTCCCTCTCTCTCCCATCCCTCCTCCCGCGCCCCCGCCAGCCCGCGGCAGGGACCCTGGCCCCCCACCAGCCCGCAGCGGGGACCCCCGCCCCCCATCCCCTGCCCCGCCAGGTCGCGGGTCGGCCGGGCTGCGCACACTCAGGCCGCTGCCTGGCGGCCCCAGGCGGGGTTCAGTTTCCCGGGGCATGGGGTTGGGGGTGGGGGGTCGGGCTATGGCATCCCCTGCCCCTGGAGCCCCACCGTGCCTCGGTGTGAACAGGCACTCCCCCGTCCGACCCGAGTTGTGGACAGGACACTCCTGCCTGGTTCGCAGGTGGGGAAACTGAGGCTCAGAGGTGGGCTTGGACCTCCCAGACACCACGGGACCACCGGTTAGATGTGGGGCTTCCCTGGGGGTGGGGGGGCGGGAGAGGAGGGTCCCCAAGGCTTCACTCACGCTCTGGGCTGAGCATCCTGGCGGCGGGGACGGGCGCGGGCTCTGAGTTCGAGTCCTCCCGGCTGAGGTTCGCCCGCAGCCTGGCCAGCAGCTCCTCGTAGCCTTTCCGCAGCTCCTGGGACCCGGCGGCGGCGGCGTCGGTCCCCACGTCCCCGGGGCCCCCGGAGCTCGGGGCGCTCTTCTGCGCCAGGGACAGGGCGCCCCCGGGCGGCGGCCACCCGAGCACGAGGGCCGCCAGGGGCAGCAGCAGCATCGGGCAGGGGCGCGGTGGCGGCCGGGGACCCGGCCCGGGCATGGCCGGGCTGCCTGCGGGGACTCTGAGCCGGACTGGCGGCCGGGCTGCAGGACGGCCCTTATAGCGCCCGGACTTTGCCTGCCCCGCCCCCGCCCCGCCCCCGCCCCGAGCGCGGCGACACTCCAGTGACCCGCCCCGCAGGATCTTGGGGTGCATTCAGGGTTGGGCTGGGGGGGTCACTCCAAGGGGAGCTGGGGCACCTCTCTCTGAGCCTCAGTGACCTGTTGCATGAATTGGGGTCACTGTCCTATCCTGGTAATCTTTTTGGAGGAAAAAAAAAAAAAAAGGACTTTTACATGTGGGAAATTCCAGGCGGGAGCCTAAGAGGGGCTCGTGTCCCCCAGTGGACTCCCTCTCTTCCCTGTCTGGTTGGGGTCAGAGGCTGGAGATTGGTGAGAAACAAAGAGAGCAGAGGAAAAAGGGCTAGAGGCGCGGCATGGAGGCCTCACGCCTGTCATCCTAGGACTCTGGGAGGCCAGGCGGAGTTGCTCGAGCTCAGGAGTTCGGAGACCCAGCCGCTGATCAAGAGCGAGAGCCCCGTTCTACTAGTAAATAGAAAGAAATTAATTGGCCAACTAATATTATATTAGAAGAATTAGCGGGCGTCAGGTGGCGGCATGCCTGTAGTCCCAGCTATACGGGGACTGAGGAGGAGGATCTGCTTTGGAGCCAGCGAGATTGAGGTTGCTGTGAGGCTTAGGCTGGGACAGCACCGGCAGCACTCACTCTAGCCTGGCAACAAGCAACTCTGTCTTCAAAAAAAGAAAAAGGGCGAAAGGGCGCCCGTGGGCAATTGCACTTCCGCGTCTTGCTGCGTTTCCTCGCCAGGAAAACAGGGACTGAGGCTTCCATTGGAGAGGTAGTCAAAAGAGTTTTAAAGCACAGGGCCAGGCACACGGAAGGTGCAGGATGAACTGGGCGTTATCGCAGTCATTCATTTGCCTCTGGAGAACCCCTCCTCGTGCTTCAAAACCCTGCTCAGAAAGCCCCTGCTCCAGAGGCCTTCTCCGACAGGGCTTTTCCAGGTGCGGCAGGGTGCTCCCGACCCCTACCCTTCCCTCTGGCCCCGAGCTGGCCCCACAGCGCTGGAAGCTTCTGTGCCCGGCTCTGTCTAACCCAGACTGGGGGGCTCCTCTGGGGCAGGGATAGGTCCCCCACTTTGGCTGGCCCCAGAGAGAAGGCGGCGGGGAGCTGGGGAGCTGAGGGTCCGAGGCAGGGAGGGCTGGTGTCAGGTGCAGCCCCCACACGGTGTCGGGGCAGGGGGTCACATGGGGCTCCCCACCCCGGAACATACCCCCCCCCCGCGTGAGCCCAGCCCCCAGGGCAGCCTCGGCTCCCTTCGTCGAGCTCTGGGCATGCAGTAGGTGCTTAATAAATGCTTCCGCTCGAGCTCTGGGCATGCAGTAGGTGCTTAATAAATGCTTCCGCTCGAGCTCTGAGCATGCAGTAGGTGCTTAATAAATGCTTCTGCTCGAGCTCTGGGCATGCAGTAGGTGCTTAATAAATGCTTCCGCTCTCCGCCGCCGGGCTGGGGCTGTCACTTCTACGCTGACCGTGGCTGGGTGGGGGGTGGGGGGGCCTCTTGCCCCGCCTGCGTCACCCCCGGCCTGGCACACGGGGGCGGGGTGCTCCAGGAAGCGCGCTGGGCCATGCCCCCCGCGGAGCCCGGCCTCAGGCCAGCTCTGAGTCACCCTCACGTGGCCTCGGCCAGGCCAGGGAAGCCGCGGAGGCCGGCCCGGGGGTGTGTGCGGAGACCGGGCACTGTGGGGCCCGCCTCCCTTCCAGATCAATAGCAGGCACAAGAGCACTCGCATCGGCCCGTCGCCATCTGCAGAGATGGGCCGCAGGACAGGGCGGAGGGGGCCCTTCACGGAGACCCTCTCTGTGTCTCCCGGGCAGCTGGGATCTGACATTTCTTTTTTTTTTTTTGAACGAGTCTCGCTCTGTCGCGGGCTAGAGTGGAGTTGCGTGGGTCGCCGTCCAAGAACCTCAATCTGGGCTCCAAGCGATCCTCTGCCTCATTCCGAGTTATGTGGGACTGCAGGACAGCGCCCATTGCCCGGCTAATTATAGTATATATAGTTGGCCTTAATTTCCTATTTGATGTAGAACAGGGTTCTCGCTCTTCTGGCTGGTTCAAAACTCTGACCTCGAGCGATCCTCCCGCCCGCCTCCGAGCGCCTGGGATGCAGGCGTGCGCCGCGCGCCGGCTGCTTTTCCTAGAGGGTCCTTTTAGGCGGAGATCAACTGCGATGTTGGGCAGGGGCAGAGGGAGCGGGGGTTGGCAGCCACCAGCACAGTTTGGCCACGGGCAGAGCCACAGTTGCAACGGCTCTCATAGGCCGGGCGCTGTGGCTTCACCGCTAATCCTAGTCTTGGCCAGAGGCCGGCGGGCGGATGTCGAGGTCAGAGTTCAAACCAGCCTGGGGAAGAGGGAAGCCCGTCTCTCTATAATAGAAGAAATTATTGGCAATGATATTTATACTAAAATTAGCGGCATGGGGTCATGCTGAGTCCAGCTCCAGGGAGGTGAGGCAGAGGATCACTGGAGCAGGAGTGTGAGGTTTGCTGTGAGCTGGGATGAGCGGCATCACTCTATCCTGGGCAAAAGCGAGGACTCTGTCTCAAAAAAAAAAAAAAAAACGGCTCTCTGTGGATTGTTCAGGGAAAGTGTGGCCACAGGGAACCCGCTTGGCCTGAGCCGGCGCAAATGGCTTGTTGGGTTCTCCAGGCCCTCCGGTTCTAGTAGCGCGTCTGTGGGTCTCGGACACTGGCTTGCAGGGCGGAGGGCGGGCATTTGCGGAAAGAGCGGGGAGGAGAAAAGGGTTTGGGGGAGAGGGAGCGGTGTGGGGCTGGGCTGGGCTCCCCCGAGGTCTGGGAGGCCTCGACACTCTGCTTGCGCCGACAGCTGTCCCCAAAACCAGGGCACGGAGTCCCTTGGGGTGTGCTAGCATCTGGGAATGATTAGCCTTAAAGAGGCGCGAGTGGCGGCTCACACCTGCAACCCCAGCGCTTTGGGAGGCCAAGGCAGGAGGATCACTTGAGGCCAGGATTTTGAGGCCAGCCTGGGCAACATGGCGAGACCCCATCTCTAGTAAAGAAATTTAAAAATTAGCCGATTTACGTATGGCTAACACCCTGCGGACTACTTCGCAGGTTAGGTTCCAGAACATTCCCAGCTCCAGGAACCCCCCCCACCCCCGCACCCCGGGGCTCCCTTCTCCATCGCTGTCCCTAGCCCTGGAGAACAGCCGAGCGGATCTCTGTCGTCACGGGCGCGTTTGCCCGGCGCCCCTCACGAGGCCGACCGTGCTGTCGGCCGTCCACTGCGTGGCCCGTCCTTTTTCCTCGCTGTATAGTATTCCGCTCCCTGGTGCGGAAGTGCCGGCTCACCACTGGGTGTCCGTCACCAGCAACTGGTTCGTTTTATTCCTGGCATTTCCCAAAGGGGCACGGCGCCGGGAAAAGCCCCTGGGAGCCGGGCCACCCCCACTTCCCGGTGGTGGTTTCCGCTTGGCCACACTTGGGAGGGGGCGGCCGGGCCAACCAGGCTCCGGCTCCCAAAACCTTTGCTCGGTGACCTCACCGCGGGCTCAGAGGCGGGCGGGCGGCTCCGGGCAGCGGGCCAGGCGTGAGCTCATCGGTGGCCCGGGCCCCGAGTCCTGGGAGGCCGGGGGCGGAGGCCGTCCCCTCCCCCTGGCTGGGCCCCAGCGCGCCCTACGCCCTTCTCAAACACACTCGGCTCCCGGGAAGAGGGCCGAAGCCTGCAACTCTTTCGCCTCTCCAACCGGGAAGGGCAAACGTCGGCCACCCCGCCACGTTTGGAGACGCAAGGAAAGCGCGTCATTTTAGGTCCGCGTTCTGCCCGCACAGACCGAGGAGCCGCGGCCCGGCAGCCGAGCACGACGGACTTTTCTGATTTTTCTTGTATCAAAATAAACTTGTGAGCAATTTAAAAATACCGTCATGAAAACACACGTGTCTCTTATGTTGCCTATTCTTTTTATTATTTATTATTATTATTATTTTTTTAGGACTGGACACCATCTTACCACATGTTCCCTGTTCTGACTGGCAGGGCGGGCAGAGCTGCCCGTGAAGCAGAGCAAGCCTCACGGCGCTGTCCAGCTCTCCCCGGCACACAAGAGCAAGACGGGCTCCTCCTCCACGCGCCCCCCAGACTCTCGTGGGGACTGTGAGCGCCTCGCGGCCAAAGTGGTTAAAAAAAAAAATCTCACTCTGGGAGGCCGAGGCGGGAGGATCGCTTGAGGTCAGGAGTTCGAGACCAGCCTGAGCAAGAGCGAGAACCCCCGTCTTGACTATAAATAGAGAAGAATTAAATTGGCCGAACTGAACTGAATTAGGTATAGAAAAAAAGTGGTATCCGGGCATTTGCGTGGTGCATGCCTGTAGTCCCAGCTACTGGGGAGGCCGAGGCAGGAGGATCGCTTGAGCCCAGGAGTCTGAGGTTGCTGTGAGCGAGGCTGACGCCACGGCACTCACTGTAGCCTGGGCGACAGAGTGAGACCCTGTCTCAAAAAGGAAAATAACCCCTCCCGCGGGTCGGGGGCCGGTGACCGCCCGTGGAGGTCGGCTGGAGCGGGAGCCCGCCCGGTGCCGCAGCAGCAGCCCTGGGGTTGAGCCCGGCTGGGCCAGGGGGCGGCAGGCCAGGCGGGGCCTGTCGAGTGACCTCCATCCTCCCAGGTCTCACCCCTGACCCCGACAGCCCCAGCAGTGGGCGGGGCCGGATCCGAGCCGGGATCCCGGATTTGAGAACAAAGAGCCCTTGTTCCCGCCTGGCGCTGGGCTCCAGCGGCCGCCAGGGCTGGGTCCGGACAGGCCTGGGCAAGTGTGCCCGCCGGTGAACTCCTGTTGATCTCGGGGGTGAGGAGAGCGCGCGGGGGCGCGGCGGGAGCGCGGCGGGGGCCGTGCGGCCATCCCTTCATAGGCGGCCGGAGAAAGGGACCGTCCCGATCTGCCGCACCGAGGGACCGGCCAGG